AAAAAGAAAAAGAAAATTCAGAAGAAAAGCTGGTATTGGCACCCTATTTAAATATGGAAATATATATATATATATATATGGATATATATACACATATATATTAAATTTAATATCCAATAAAGACTGCCCTTGCTGACCTCTCTGCCAAAATTTGTGTAAAGATGCAATTGAATATAAAGTAATGAAGTAAACAAACCAGTTTTTAAGAAAGGTAGCTGGATGGCATTGGGTACATGGAAGTGAGAATCTGTATTTCATAAAATGTATAGTAACAGATACTGGCTTTTAAAATGTATTACTTAAGGGGGTTTGGGAAGTGATAGGTTGGGTAAAGGACCTGAAGAAATATCACGATTTGTAAGAATGAATATGCTAATAATAGATAATAAATTTTTTTAAAATGTGCTATTTAATGTATTTCTACAGTTGCACTTCTGAATGGGTTGAACAGGAGATTCCCCAAATGTGTGCCAGTGAACACTGGTCTATTACTAAGAAAAAAAAAGGCGCATTCTGTGTTTATATACATCTGGGATTCAGAACGTATTATTATACTACTCCTTTTAGGGATTCACAAGGTCTATTAGCATGTAAATGGCTCTGAGAGTTTGCAGTGAAGTTACCTGCTTAATTTTGTTTAAACAAAAATTTCTAAAATTTAATCGATCGTGAATTTTTTTTTCTGTTTATCAATAGTAAACTGCCATATTTTAGAACTTATTATGGGGCAGGCATTGCTGGTTCTTTGGATTAAAGGAAATGTAAAGATAAATATTTAGAAATGTAAAAGATAAATATTTCATCACATATTGTGCTTATCTCCTTACACATTTCACTCTATGCTACATTTGACTTCTTGGTATTTTAATTATAAGCATTTCTTCGCATAATATAAATTGCATAAGTAGTGAGTATATGGCTTCGTTTAGCCAATGCTGGCCGCACAATATGACTGACAGCATCTACCCTAGAAACCGCTTTTCTTCACAAAATATCCTGGAATTAAATTACAGTCAGATGTAGCAGTAATGAATTCTTCAGTGCTTTCCACATTTGTATTTATTTAAATGCAACACTCATCTTAATGTGATAAGTAAAAATAGCCAAAGCCCCCAAGGAAATAACAGGAAAGCACAATCTAACATCTCCGTGCTTTGAGCTGCAGTGTAACAATTGGAGTAGTAAAATATCCTGTGTGGGAAACGACCTCCTGGGCATCAAATGAAACCCAGCCCGTTTCCAGCCAGATCTCAGGAATCCTTAATATTTCTAGTGGAAGGTATAGAACCACAGCACAGTCATGGAAAGAGCTGATTGCTTGCTTTTTGTTTTGTTTTGTTTTAAATGTTAAAGTTAGATCAGCTGTTAGGAAGAGGGTTTTTTTTTTGTTTGTTTTTTTAATTTGTTTGTTCATGTGCAAATAAGCTTCTGCACACTCCACAGCTTCAGGGATGCAAACACCACTTGGAATTTGAATCAGATAATTCCTGATAGAAGCCATGACTTGGATTTGGCTGAAAATTCTCAATCTGATTTTCCAGGACAGGCTGATGACGGCTGCTGGCCAGCACTCAGGCCCAGCCTGGACGAGCCTGCCACATCCACTCCTCTTGTTTCCTTCCCTTTGAATGGGCCTTTGAAATGCCCAGAAGCCAACAGCTGCTGGAGGCGGTGCAGAAAGGCCTGGCAGGAACAGGTGGCCCCACCTGTCTCCCAGTGGTGCCAGCTCCAACAACTGTTCACCCGGCTGGGAGAAGGGCAGTGTGATCAGAAACACAAAAGCAGGGATGGGGGAAGGGGAAGCAAAAATGATAGGGATGGCAATTAGAGGCAGAGGAGAGAGCTGAAGGGAGCCAAAGCCTGGGTTTTCTAGCGCCATTTAGCACCAGTGAATTAAGAGTGCTCTCGCAGAAGTTACGGTGAACAACACTTCGTTTTACAAAAAAAATGGCCTTTTAGTTTTCTTAGGTCCTCTGATCCTGCAATTCCAAACAGAGGTGGA